CAAACACGGCCATATATATGCACGCGATTTGGAATGCATCGAGTTGAATCACCCCAGACAGTAAATAGTCGCCTTCGACAAAAAAGTGACCACAGATAGATACAGGCGAATTCGGAATGCCTAGTTGCATCGTCTCAGACAGCATAGCGAGCGCCGATCACGTCTTGGCATAACTTGTGCATGATATATCGCATACACGCACACCGTTACGCACAGGTGGCCGAGGAGGCACCGATAGATTCATAGCGCTAGGCGGGATTCAGATCAAAGTTCACCAGGTTTCGGCAGCAGCAGTGACACTGGTGAAGAGTCTGGAAAGCACACGTTCGATGGGATCCATGTGACAGACATACGAACGAGAACGAGAATTGTAGCAGCATAGATAGATTTCGTTGGACAGATACTCGATAAAAGCAATAGAATACATCGACCCATTTTTGAAAAATGTCGACGACGACAAGAATAGACGCCCAACAGCGTGGTCGGCCCCTCACGAAGCATCGCGCAGCCACATAACAACCGAATTCAATCCCTTCCTTCATGTGGCGCTGAATTCGCAATGGGCTAGGGGAAACGTCGGACCTGGATATATCCGATATTGCGTTTGGGAAGGGGGGTAGAATTGCTCTCTTTCTTTTCTCCACTGTCCTACCGTCATACTCCACCTCACAACAAGTTGAGGGCTTTACGAAGGTCTTATACGCGACTCCTGTCCACTTCACAGTACACGGGAGAGCTAAAGTCGAGGGGGGCATGCAACTCACCCTAACACGCGGCCCACAACTAAGCCGGAAAAGTACCAGCACACTACTGTCCCCTTCCCCTGTCCAAGGAAGGCAGGGACAGCGCCGAGACGTGAGATCGGTCAAGGGAAGAAGGGGTTTGTGGGAAAATGCATTCCACTGGTACCGTGATCGTGCGCTGCGGACATTCGAGGTGAAAAGCAGGGAGAGGGGAATACGTCTTGTGACTACTTTGCTCTGAGCCCCTCTCCGCATGGCGTACCCACCCGGCTGCCGGCCAGCATGAGCTGAACGATGTCGATATCGGTATCGCGTCCCCCGTCTTCTGCTACTCTCGTCTGTCTGCTTTAGCTCGCGGATCGACATCGAATTACCAGAGCGAGCTGGAGCATCGTTCATTCTGCTCCTGCCGGTGTGAGTGACGGCACCCCATGTGGTATCCATTACATTGCCGTAATATGGAATTATACGTGTAGTTTGGAATCTATGTTTCCTTGGCAGAAGGCAACACGTGCCCAGAGTGCATCGATGGGCAACAAAACTGAGAAATTGTCTGGCAGTTGCAACATTGGAGGCTGAAGATAGCTCACTAATCACCCACCCGTCCGTTCCCCCCGCTCAGATCTCGCTCCCACCCCCTAGTGGGCCCCTGCAAATATCCCCTGCCCTGCTTTTTGTTGCGTCTTCCATGCTCTATTCAATTCGCCCAAGCATCGTTGGCAGATGTGATGTGCAAGCTTGGCGGATCCACAGGCAGGGCAGTTGACAATGTCTGGCCGGCAATGTGGGTGACTGGTGCGAGAGTTATATAACAGATTTGAGCCTACTGTGTTTGTCCTTTAGTCCTTTATTTGCAGAGCGCATCGCCTTCCGTGAATGAGAAACTTTCTTCTTAGGAACAGCGAGGAGGAAAGGCGGAAAGAGGTCGAGGAGGTTTTGGAGCAGTCCAGCACCGAGGACCGTAGAAAATCCCAGGGGTGTTACGCGCTTCTGAAAGGTTGAAATCTTGAATAGTCCAACGATTGACCATGGCGATGGTTTTTGTGGGAGAAGAACTGATGTTACGAGAGCGGCCATTGCAGGATGAATGTGCCAATGGTGGATGAGAATCGAAGTGGCGCGTGTTTGTTGCACCCGCAGGCGCCCCACCCTTCTCCTTCTTCACCTTCCTTTTCGTCCAGTTTGAACCGCTCATCAGCCATGTTCCGAATCACTCGCCCGCTACGGCAAGCCATACGGCAAACAACCAACATTGCTGGTCTTCATCCCCATCCCGATCCTATACCCGCTCTGGCGTCCACATACGAAAAGACACTCAAGCTGCTCGAAACCATTCCACCATCCTCCGTATACAGACAAGGGACGGAAGCCCTCACACAACGCAAGTTAGACATCGTCAAAGCTTCCAACGGAGATGCTTTTAAAGCCGAGAAAGATTTAGATGAGGGCCTCATTGAGCAAGTAATTCAGGTTGCGGAGGATGAGCTGAGCCTCGTCACGAAGATGATTGAATGGAAAGCGTTCGTATCATCTGGCCATCAGTCTGACACTCCAGCTCACAGTGACATATAGGTGGGAGCCTTTGGAAGAAAGGGCACCCCCTGGACAATGGCAGTATTTTGAACACAACCCAGTTAGCGATTTTAGCTGACGTTTGCACTGCCTATTAATCCCTGCCGTTCCAGGCGAAGGACGTGTAGTTCAGAGCAAGAGTTCTTGAGAAATGACAAGTAACTCCCTCCTGTCGTCGAATGTGGCTAATGAATACATCTGCTTCACATTTCCTTCCCGTCTAATATGAACAGTTGGTGGGAAACCTGACGTTCACCACACGTCTCAAGACGGCTGTAATGTTACGGCCAACGGTCAGAATATTGACATGTCGTGCAAATGCCCAATGTCTCTTATGAAAGCACGCAGACCATACGCATACACAGCATAAGCCACAGGCATATATCCCTAATCAACTAGCGCTCCGATAGTAAAAGCACTCAGTAACCGAGGGCTACCAGCTTTTCATCCGATGCACCTGCCTCGGCCTTCTGACGCAGTTTTAGCGCAGCCGTCTGTAAATTTATGTTAAAATAACACATCTTGAGAGTACGGCAAGGCCTACCTTGCGCTCAAAGAAGGCCTGTGCCTTGACCTTCCTCTTCTCCTCCAACTTGTCCACCACGTCCTTGTACCCCCATCCAACCTCGTGCGAAAGACGCTGCAGAGGCATCACGATAAACAAGAAGTATTGTGCATCGTATAAGGACATACCTTGATAGTGCAGTACTTCCGGCCAGGCTTCAGCCGCAGTACGCGGAGGGCTTCAGGTACAACCATCTTCTTTTTCTTGTCATAGGGGGGTGGGACACCCTCGTAGAGTTGCAAACGTTTGAGCGCAGCAGCGCCACGAGCGGTCTTGTGGGGGGTCATGCCACGGACGGCACGATAGAGGATGCGAGAAGGAGCACGTTCATGGAAAGGACCGGACTTCTTGGGGTTTACGATGTGGCGCTTGTGGAGGAAATTATGGTAGCGGAGCTGCGACGACATGAACTTGCAAATCAAATCGTTTGATAGTGCACGTACCTTATTGCGGAAGAAACTGCCGGAGATATTGATCTCCTCGCAGCGGAGGACTACGATTTTCTGGCCAGAGAGTATTTGCTTCGCAATGATGGAAGCTATGCGGCCTAGAAGATGTCCCTTGCCATCGATGACAATGGGTGCCGAAAAAATTTGGGACATTGTCGACAGCAGCGGTCGTCGCGAAAGTGTCGAGGCAATTGTGGTAGGGTCGCCGCTCTACACCTCAAAGCACCACACAGGCACCGAGTGCACTTTGCTTCCGAGTACTGTACAGTTTTGACTTTGGCACTTTAGGGCAGCACCAGCACAGCCACTTTCATTCCCTTCCCCCACAATCACCGTTTCTATCAGATCACGTAAGTTATTTGCTTAGCATCGATTCAGAGACCGTGATGGCACTGTACATGTCATTTATCAATCTGAGACGTTCTGCGACATCTCAACGTGCAATACTAAGAAGTAATGATAGCACCGTGCCGTGGACAGACAGGATGGGCCTTCAAACCTGGACCCAGTCGGATGTAGGAATAACGGAGAAGAGGCAATACGTGATAGCGAGAGAAGTAGACAAGGAAAGAAGGCAGGCGCGGCGTACGCAGGCGGAAAGCACGGTGGACGAAGGCAGGAGTGTTGAGGGGGGAAATAGAGTTTCGGGAATCAACAGGTACTTGGGCCCGAAGCAGCAATAAAGCGCTGGGCACCAATGCACATGGACCGTGGGAATGTGTATCTACTCGGCAGCGGCAATCATCGCTTCGCGGCCAACGCGACGCTCCTTCTCTCCTTCCAACTGATTGTAGAGAAGGAAGAGCGCCTTTTCGTTACTCTCACCGGTTCCAGTGATCGTGAACATACGTTCGCCAGTTTCATCGTGAGGTTGCTTTGCAATGCTGATCTTGCTACCACTCAGACGACGAATCTCCGTTATCTTGGCTCCACCACGTCCAATGATGCAGCCGACCATGTCAGAAGGGATGGAGATGTTTTGGGTTCGGATAGGCTGATTTCCCGCATTCGAAGTAGGGGAGGCTGGCGCGAGAACAGACGCAGCCGCCGCAGGTAAAGAAGTCTGCTGGCCGATAGACTGACGACGACCACTGGTACCGAAGGCTGGAGCTTGTCCATTGGTACGACGGGGGGAGACATGACTAGCGCCATGCTGCATAGCGAGAGAAGGATCAACAGCGGCGCCAGGGTGATACAGGACAGTGCCAACACCGCGTTCCCAATCCTCGACAAGGCAGCGGCCAACCTCCTCAACGGCTCGACCGATAGACTCAGCATCTCCGATGACCTCAACAACGCGTTCGGTAGATTGCGGCAACATTTCTTTCGCAGCAACCATGCGCACGCCGGAGGCGTCTTGAATAGACTTGATTTTGAGACCCGAACGGCCAATGAGAGTGCCCATCAAATTGTGGGAAATGAGCAGGCGGAGGGTAAGAGTGCTAGCCTGGTTGGGAGGAGAGGGAGGAGGGGTCTGGGGAGGAGAGGGAGGAGCAGGTGGAGAGAGGAGCTGAGACGCGATGAGAGTGTACGCCTATGCCAGCGTGATGAGTCAGCGATCTTGTGTGCATCGGGACTTCTAACGTACCTTTGCAACAGCTTCGACAGGACCAGTGACACTCAAAACGCGTTCGTGAACGCCAGGAACGACCTTGCTAACACCGGCCTTCACACCCGTGGACTCGCGCAGATCTGCGACGTTCCTACCAGCTTTGCCAATGATGATACCGGCATCCTTGGTGCTGACGAGTGCGCGGAGGGTGAGGATCTCAGCCGGGTTGGCGGACGACTGACCACGAGGCGATGCGGGATCTAGATGAGCAAGTTTCCGATGAGTATGTGGTGTAACAATGAAACCTGAATATATGCGCACTGGGAGGGGGGGAATTGGGAGGGCTGGACGGCATGACTGAAACTGGGTGGCGGGGGTTGGGTTAACGGAAGAAGGATGGGGGAGGGGAGAAGAGGAGGGGCGAGTGAGCAAAGGGATAAGGATGGGGAGGACGGGGTGATGCGGGAGGAGGAGGACAAGGAGAAAGGCGGAGAAGAGAGACGAGAGGTGCGGGATAGGGAAAGGGGGACGATGGAGGCGGGTTACAAGAGGTTGGCTCACACGAAATGTGTGAAGGTCCGCCTATTTCAGATTTGTTTCCGTTCTCCTATCCCTTCTCTGCCCGCACCCCAGAGCAACCCTCCCTTGTGTGCACGGGCCATTCGCACAGCCACCTGGCTTATTTGATTGTGTGACGTGGACCAGTCAAGAACAAGTAATTCATCAAACTGATCTCCACCAAACCTGCGGGGTTCTTAATTGGCAGAACCAAGGCGCCATCAATGGCTTGAGAAGAAGTACAACGACGTTGGAACGCGCGTAGTGCAGAACGCGTTTCAGACGTCGCCACCATTGCACAACGCATTCTTGGCATCTTAGTCCCAGCGAATGCCGCTCAGAAAGATCGAATACGATTTGAACGCGAATAACAAACTGTAACATTAAAATCACCGTCCACGGGGAGCCATCGGGACAGCATATGACAGGGCAAGGTGATCCCAACAAGCCGCAAAAAAACAACTCCAAAATGATTGTTCCCTCTTGAACGAAATATCCCATTATACCATTCTCGCAAATGTCAAATATCACTAGTATCGATGATGAGAGGCCTGTGGGGAAAAAAGACTAGCGAACGTGTCATTTCAGTACCACAATCAAGACTGCTTCGCTTTCTTATTTGGGCCGTTCTCCTCCGTTTTCGAAGCTGGTCGCTTTTTAACAGCGACATCACCATTCACGCCTGTCGTTACATTCTCCATGTCGCCTCTGGCGAGAGGAGGCAATTTGAGTTCCCCATACACATTGAAAATCACTACCAGACTCACTGTTTTGCGAAATACGTCCGGCTCTCTTTCACATCGGCAACCAAGGTGTCCTCTCCCTCCTTCCAATCAGCCGGACAGACCTCGCCATGCTTATCCTAGAATACGCGATGAGCGCGTCAGCCTAGAGGTGTGATTCATATACACGCACAGTATACTGAAAGGCCTTGACAAGTCGTAGAGTCTCCTCCACGGACCGACCGACTGCCGTGTCGTTAATGGTCACTTGGCTATTGACGAGTTAACTCAGGCGATCTTTGATCTGTGGGTCTGAAATACTTACCGTAATATGCCTTTGGGGTCTATTATGAACAGACCACGCAGAGCGACACCCTCCTCTTCTATTAGCACACCATAATCTCGTGCGATCTGCATATTCTTGTCGGCAAGCAGGGGAAGCCGAAGATTGGGCCCAAGGCCGCCCTCAGCTCGTGGTGTATTGGCCCATGCAAGGTGGGAATAGATAGAATCCGTAGATGCAGCTAAGGTTTCATAAATGGAAACATAATGATACTCTGCTTAGGAGGGGACGCACCAATAACAGCACAATCAATACCCTCGAATTGAGGTAATGCACGGTTGAAAGCAAGGATCTCCGTCGGGCATACAAATGTAAAGTCTCTAGGTTCCTGTGAGAAACATGCAAATCATATCTGGGCACAATGCTTGCAATGGATAAAAAAAGAAAACCAGCCTAACCATAGCGGTTAAAATGAGTTCTGGAATACTGTAGCGGCTCCGACATAAACACACCATTTTCCTATAAAGTCATTCAAGCTTATGTCTTTGAACAAGCCATCCTCGACTACTGTTCCGCTAAAATGGGGGGCGGGCTTTTGGACAAAGGCTTTAGACATTGCTGCGACGAGGACGTAAAGCGTCAGAGGGGACGAGGTGTAGAAGAAGGATGTGCCGTTGCGGGGTTACCGGAGCGAGAATTATGGAAATGGTAATGTGATGTGAAACGCGGGTCTGCCTCCGTCTTCGGATCCTTAAACAATTCAGCTTAGAAGACACCCTGCGGCACCAAAACTTGGGTCTCGCCCAAGTCTTTTGCGTCCCTCTTCCTCATTTGGAAATCTGATCGACAAAGAGATATAATAGCTCTGCGCGAATTTGTCTCTTGAGATGTGTCCACCTCCTTGTTGTCTTCTTTTCATAATAAAAAAGACGAAGATGTCCGGAACATTTATTGATACTCGAGCCCAGGCGTACAGGGAGGGGTCCAGCTTCGTGGCCCCCCCATTGATAAGAAGAGAAGCCAATCCACCGGCATCCCTTACTTCTCACATCGTCGTAAACCTCCCACTGTGCATCAATTCCAGCCAATCCTCGGCATCTTAATACGGCAGTAAACGCTGTCGTTCGTTCGAGGCCCACTCTGCGTCGTCGAATGTGTCGTCTTCCCATGCCTGAATCGCTCCCTGGTCCACACTATGGTCTTCGGCAATACCGGCCCACTCTACCCGTAGCCTGAGGCCCCGCTCCACCATGACATCGATCCATCGAATCAACTCCTGTGTTTCAAAGTTGGGTCTCATGAGGTCGTGGAATGCAATAAGATAGAGGTCTACTAATTACTTCAGCATTTCAGGATTCGGCACAAGGCACCAACCTTTAGACCACGGGCATTCGGAGACTCCACGGTAGAGAAGAGATTTGGCCTCTCGAACTCGTCCGTTTTCCAGCTCCAGCTGCACGTACTGCTGCCAAAGGAATAAGCTTCTGCATGCCCTAGCAGTAACAAACTCAGCATCGAGTGAAACCTATGAGACACTTGCAACCCACATTTCGTCGCGAACCCCTCGATCGAGCCATTCTCGCTTCTCATGCACAGACGTAGCCGACATTACCGCCGTCGACCAAAATTCTAAAGACTGGTGACAGCACGTTTCGTTCAAAAGCGTTTCAAACAGGCGATGAACACGACCCCGTATAGTCTCACGACTTTCATTCGCTGCGAACCTGAAGCCAACATAAGAAAATCAGTCACTTACAACGGATCAAACGGCTGGGGCTTACGCCGAAAGAATTGAGGGGTTGTCTGGATAAATTTTCGCGCTTTGCTCTAGAAGACCCCGCAGAGCGGCAGGAGGAATCGGAGCAGCGCCACGATTCCTGGCCAAATCCAGCAGAAACCTGCTTCTCGCAGCATGAAGTTCTTCTGTTGCATGCGGTTGGAGGCTCAACACGTCGAGGGTCTCCGTCAGATCAGAGGAGGTCAAGTATGTTAGCAGTGCTCTGGTCTGCATGACCCAGACCGTGGGATGCGTAGCATACATTGACGAGAGCATCTGGTGGGTGTGAGGCGCTGGCAGTGTGAGCATGAGCTTCGACGGCATACCTGCTTCGCCTTCAACATTCGCACGAGTGTCTGTCCATCCCCTCCTAAAACACTCTGGCATAAGATTGTGATCGCGGAGTCCATAGCGCCCTCCTTCCATTCTAATGTTGCCCACTTATACCAAAGTCGTTGAGTCTGCGCTGGAGAGGCCTGTAGTATGAAACACAGCTTGATTTGAAAACGTCACCTGCTGTTCATGCTACACATACTGTTGGGTTCTTAAACAGTATTTGATAGACCCTTCGAGCGGCGTCCAGTTTTCCAAGCGCTTGTTCAAGGTCTGCATATAGGTCCCACAAGTGCATTGAGGAAGGATACAGAGACAGCAGATGCTTCGCGTGATTCAGAGCACTGAGAGCCGTTATTCCTTCTGTGAGAACCTGTAATTTGAGATCAAACTCACCCTTTCGGACTGACCGCATATTCATACGCAAGGTCAAGCTCGTTCCAGCACTCTTGCGCAGAGTCTTTCATCAAGTTCCGCAACTGTAAGAACAGATTCCTATCATGGATGAGAGCCTCTGTTCTATCAGCATTGAAGAGGCTTGCCTAATGAATTCGCATTTCTTCGAGGAGTGCCCTTCCTCTTCTATTTTCCAAGTCCCCAGCCAGGTGTTTTGGGTTGCAGGTGTACCCACCTCAAGACCCAAGTGGTCCGATGCCTTCATTCCCAGAAGGCCCAGAAGGTCGCAAGCCGCCAGAAAAGAATCGTGTGCTGAAAGAGCTTTATTGGGTAGAAGAGGAGATATATCTTGCCAGAGGGTCACTCTATAGGGGTCCGAACCTTCTGCAGTGTCGGCAGGGGGAAGTAGCATGTCGTGCGATGCGCATTGCTCCATATGTGCCCAAATTAAAATAGGATCTTGGTTAGTCTCGATCACAGGAGCAAAATTATTGTCATAGCCATTTGGAGGCTGATTCTGTGGCTCAGTGTTAATCAAATAATTAGATTGGCCCATTTTAGGCGTCTCCTGGTCCCACCACACTTCGAGTTGTTGGCGTACGGCGCTCCAATCCTTGTTGACCAGTCCGGATTCCTCAGACCGACGATATCCCTCCAACAGGGCTTGATATGCTGAAATTGCCCTCTCAGTATAGCCTGGTCAGTTATTCAGTTCCTTCGACGTGAGTCCGCATCATCAGGTTCAGGCTCACCGGCTTTGAATAGTATCGCACAGCTAAGACTGAAAAGGGAGACCGAGGAGGGTCCAAGATCGTCGTGAAATGCAGCCAGTGCTCTTGTAGTACATTGGATTCCATTGTCTATACCCTTCACCTTGAATACCCAGCAGAGCCATTCCTTCCACAGGTCTATGGTGCCCTCTCCCTGACCCAGGGTCAGGGCAGATTCCCATGAGCGATTGCCTTCTTCCATTGGGAGAAGAACACATGATAGACGAGCCCGCTGAGCCAGTAAAATGGAACAATTTGGCAAGTAATGGAGGGCACGCTCTAAGATAGCAAGTTTAACTTGCGCAGCAGCTTTGACACTGGGAGATGCGGCAGCAGACTTGGTGATAAGAGCACACCATGAAGTAACATCCAGTTGGTTGACATTGAGACGTGATTCGATGTCACCAATGTGTGAAGATATTGTCTCTATGTCCAGAGGGTCACTCCTCGAGGAACTGCTTGACATCTCTTCGACATCCAAGTCCTGAGCACTTTGGGCACCATGATGACGAATTGAACGAATCGGAATGAAGTCGAGAGTGGCCAGTGACATGGACTGTTCGGAGGGTTTGACATGTCTTGGAAACTTTGCGAGGTTTTTTTGGAACACATATCGATCATCCTGGACTTCTGGTCAACTGTCAAGTGAGTTGGCCGCCCTTGTTTACTTACGAGACGGAAGTCATCATCAGGGTGTGACGGAGGCGAGCCGAGCACCCCCGAAACTCGACGATATTTGGGAATCGTGCGAGAATGTATTCCACCAAAAGTCATATTCAACCGGTCTCCTGTACGATCAACGTAGAATGTTTTATTCTTCGTGTAGTCAGCATGAAGGGTGGCGGCGGTGAACTCTTCCGATCGTGGAGATGTTGATATTTTGCATGGACGTGCGATCCGCTCCCCCGCTTTTTGTCGCCTTTTTTCAGCACGCCGACTAGACGCATTTATCGGCGAGTCGGCTTCGATATCAGGGAAACTTGCAAACGAAGGAATGTCCATGGTTGAGATAGGGGTGGAATAAGATGAATCGCATCCTGTATGTATGTGCTTATGAAAGTTACTGGTCCCTTTTCGTTCCACACGTGACCAGAATCGCCAGCCATGTATGGTTTACACCAGCTCAAGAACCAATTGAATGTTTCAGTTAAATCGGGGAATCCCGTTGTATTGTCAAGGAAAGAAAGAAAAGTTCAATATGGAGTACAACGATACTCCTGAGCTTTCACCACGAGTAAATTTCATATTTCCATCTTCATACGATGATACAGCTCCGAGTGCTTCCTGAGCTCTTCTGGATTGCGAGGTCCGACCTTCTTCCCATCTAAGCCATATTCAATCCCACTTGAATATGTAACGGGCGCAACTGGCGGCGGCAAACAGTAGTCAGGCTTTACACCATAGTCCTCAAAAGTATATTCTCCGCCTGCTTCGGTGGGAATGTTTACAAGAATCGCGTTTGTTGAGTCAATTGAGATGTCGTAATCAAAGTAGTTCAGTGGTGTCAAAAAGAAGCTTTTAGGGCATGAGGATGGTATCATAGGGTCACGTGTGAAGAACACACCTGGAAGTCGCGGTGATAGTCCTCGTATTGGGAACATCTTCTGTTTGGGGTAAATGATGCGTGCCCACCGAGATCCACGCAACCAGATCCGTTTGATCCAAACTCTCCGAGTCGAAGAAACGATGGAAATCGACCGTGGGCCTTCCTGGCAAGTTCATATTCCACATAGATGAGGAGGTTGGTTCTATCTCCTTGCGCTACAACCAACGTATTACATCTCAATCCGTAACATCTAACAATGGACATGTTGCTCACCAGACTGACGGCAAGATTGTATTGCGCCCAGTTAGCGTTGTTCAGTAACCTTTTCGACCCTACAACCGTCTGACAAAGAAAATCAGTATGTTATCAACGCAAGAGTAGCGTGAACGTCGTTACGTTGTGAATAGGATTGAACCCGGCGTGAACAGCGTAGCCACGGGCATTTCCCCATGAATTGGTAGCATTACGATTCATGACTGAATAGCCGCCTTGGAAGTTCTTGGGATATTTCAGTAGAGCTTCGTCCTCAGTGGCAATATATCGGTGAACAATATGTTGCTGCAGCACGGTTTTTCCCCAGTCATCATCGTACCATGGATGGCTGACTTCTTCCACGGATGTGGTTGTCTCCAAAAGCGAATTTTCAGTTCCGGCAATGTCAAGATCCACCTAGCCAGAACAAAAGTTAAGCACGGCGTTCCGTGCACCAATGCGACCTGTGCACCTTATAATTAATGACATGGTCGTGAAGACTGCCCACTACAAAGGCGGTCGTTAGTAGAACGAACAACCGAGCGGCTCTTGGCAGAATACACTTACTTGTCTGGTCTTGAATCCGTGTGCCGTAACCCGTTTGCTTGGGCTCCCAATACCCTCCTTGCAAATAGCCCGATGCGGACAGGCGGACTTCGATAGTGCCGTCAACAAAGAAAGTATAATCAAACTTACGCCCCTGGTCAAAATGATGTCGGTGGAAAGAAACTTTGACGGACCAAGTAATCATAACTATGATCAGGGATGACTTGAGCAGTCATTACGTCGCAACAGAAATACACTTACTTGCCCACGGTCGAAATAGATCTAACAGTGAAAGCGTAGCCTTTCACTACCTACATTCGTTCATCAACACCGGGGATGCAATGAATGTTGCCTTTCACCTACGCCGTGTTCCTCTAAATATCCATGATGACGGGTCATTGGCCGTCCTATACGAACCAAATCAGACAGCAGAACGCAGGAAATGAAGAAGATCTTGCCTGTGTCGAGCTCGAAAACGCAAATTGCACGTTCTCGAGAGTATGAACCTAGTGCAGTGTGAACCGTAGCCGGCAAATACTGTGCCTCGGCCGGGCAGTCGTAGCCAGGCAGCATATCTCGAACAGACGCGCCCTTAGACGAATGAGCCAAACCCGACAGATCATCCTGAACGTTGTACCATGCCAAAATATCTGTCCAGCCATGCAGTTGTCGCCTGTAAGGGATCATTTCCAGCGTATTGGGCCATCGCTGATCAAGCATATGAGACAATGTCTGAGTCAAATGAGATGCAAATATACCTTCTTGGGGAGCAAGCTGTGGAGCAAGATACTATCAATCACACCTGCTAGAGGCGGCATGCTCTCACCCACCTCATAAATGATCCGTTCGCCACGGAAACCAATATTCCAGAGCGATAGGCCCTGAGGACGGTGAGAGTGTGTGATGGTGCGAAAGCGGGAGAAACGTGCCATGTCTCGATCAAATCCAAGATACATAGACCACCCCATCCATGTTATGTACTGATTTTCTCTATCCACTCTGTAGCGCAGGCCATTGAAGGAAACCGATCGTGGTCCAGCACGATCGTCAAGATCAGGAGCAGGCCCTTGTAGACAATGAGATGTGTCTGAAGCTGTTTCCGGGCGTACCTCTGCGTTGCCGACTTGACCAGCTGGGAGTGTTTTTGTCTGGGGAGGGTAATCTCTTCAGCGTGCCATTATGAAATGCGGCGACGAACTCTTCATTGGAGTTGAAGATCTGGTGGTTGTAGACGACCTGTTCAACGTTCCTTAAGTCCACGTCCACATTCTGGGTGTAAAGCTCCCGCATTACTTTCAATAACTTCCACTTAGAAGAATCGGTACCATCCATGGATACATACTGAAAGAAACCAAGGGGATGGAGCCACGGACCAGGGGCATTACGACGCCAGGTAAGCCATGCCCTAACGCAACATGAGACAACAATAACAAAATTAATCGGAAGAGGTGCCTTCGGAATGAACCATCAAAAGAAAAAGGCGCCGAGCCACTGGCGATGAGCGTGTCGTTCGGGAGTCCACGAGCGGTCCCTCCAAACAGCTCTTCGGTGATATTCTCTAATGGAGTCATGAAGCGTTTTACTGCGGACACCATTTCTCCCACTGGAGCAATACGAATGAGGGTCAGCACAGGAAATACAAATGGTAATAATAACGAGTCGTACTTTGTGCAAATCCACGGGCATTATAAGGGACATTCGGCTCATGATACATTTCCGTCAATTGACGGATTGTAGTGACACTGGAGAGAGGCAAGGGGCCAACCAAATAATCCCGTATCACTGGCTCAGCATGAGCTCCGTGGTGCATGGTCACCTATACAGGTGAATATACTTTTGATGAGCTTTTTGCCGAACTCCGAGTAAGTTAGAAAACTCACACGGGCGTAGCGTTCCGGTGGTGGTGCCCCTTCATTGAGATAAGCAAGGACATCTGACTTCGGGGGACGAAAGTTCTCAATGAGAAAAATAGAGTTATCCCTGTTCGCAAATTCTCAGCTCAGTCGACTAGCGACAAGGATAGGCCAGCGCATACGAGAGCTGTGCGATGTCAGAGCGAGTGAGGTTGAAACCGAGCTCATCTCTGAAAAGCCATATCCTTAATTGTACGACTTCGTCGACCGCCAAGTTTTTCCATGGGTTAGCTCTGGCAGAAACACTGGGAGGGGAGACATCCAAGCACATGCCGGGGAATGCATGCCCTTCCCTAAGAGCATCATACAAGCTGCCGCCCTGGGCAATCCCTGCTGGACGCCATAGATAAAACATGCAGGCGAACAAGGTGCAAGCCGTGATAGTAAGGATCGCCAAGCGCGGTCGATGAAAAATGGTTCTTCCGGGAGAGGCCCCATCTTCGCCCAGTTTCAAAGGTTGATAGCTAGGAGTAGACATGGTCAATAATGGGGGAAAGGGCCATGGAGGAGCCATCTATATATGCTGACCTACATATTTAAGTACGGCTAAAAGAGTGATTTCATTATCATCATAATACGCACATGATTTGGATCTGTGATAACAAGGCCGTCGCATTCATGCGTTATCGAGAGCTTCCTTGAGCTTGTGCAAACGGAGGTTGATAAGTAACCATCCGCGGGCAACTTGGTTGACGCGCTGCAAAGCCGATTGTCTTTTATACTCTTCTGGCCAAATCGGTTTCGGGTTGCGCGACTCCCCAGAATGGCTACTCACTAATAATGAGCGAGCGTATATCCAACGATGAATATACCCCAGTTCGGGCTCCTCCACCATGATATCTTGTCAAGCCTCAGGCTGGTCTAGGCAGTTGTCCAGTGATGTATGCCATCAGTAAAAAGCGCACAGGTGCAATGATAGCACGGGGTCCCTATGAGTGCTACGGAAGCTATGGGTGCTTTGAGACGTCTATGGCAGGCTCTATAGGGCTACAAAGTGGCGGACGATGGGTGCTGCGCTACAATAGCATTTGCAGTTTTTACGGATGCGGCTCCGCTCACTCGCTCAAATGCCAGCCATGAGCTCCGCGCACCTCTGGACAACAGAAAGACAACACTGCTAACAACAAAAGAAAGAGGGAGAAAACTACGACATAACGGCTCAGGGGCCAGCTTACGTCAGAGTCAGAGCACGGAAGTATAATATCATAGTTGAGCAAGGATAGCACAGCCCCCTGGTCCTCTAATTCATTGAATAATTATCCGTTGTTGTTCTGGTGGCCACCGCGCCGGTCGTCGGCGCACTAGACTTAAGCAACCGAAATCAACATCAATGATTGAGGGCAACTGCAGGGAAAGCAAGAAGTGTTGTAGCAATTTTAAATGGTAAACGTGAAAGTCACACGCGTTAGGCGAAGCAGATCCAAGCTTGTCCCAAGAAAGACACCGCGCCAAGAGTATACACGAGACGAGCTTACACCCAAGCCTATAGTTATGACATAATGTAATACAGTGAAAAATATGATAATACCACCCTAACCCTCCTACCCCACCCTAACCTCAACCACCCCTAACCTGCTAGATGAAATCCCAACTAGTACCCAAAGCACCGGTACCATGCAGGCATGAAATAAAACACTTTCCGTTTTAGGGAATTATGGATGCAAATTGCCATGCTACTGATCCGTTGCACTCCCAGAAAAGCACACACTGCTTATGCCAGCAATAACACAGTTTGCTCACACACACCTAGTTACAGGACTGGCGCTCTTAGGCTTATGCATGTCGCAGCTGGTATCTCGTGCGGCAACCCCCTCAATTGACTTCGATGGATACCCTGGTTCAAGAGGAGCTAGTCCAGGGTGATGAGACTTCACCGCTCTTGTTCGAGTTTCAGTGGCCCACCATTGGCGAAACTCATCAATCCCGCTTTGCGCTGTAGTTTAGGCACAGGCTCAGTAAACTTAGATTACGGACCACTAGTTTTGGTGGAAGGTGTTGACCTGGCGGCCGTCGGTGCTCCTTTCAACTTGTCGGAGCGGTCATGCTGAAAGACGGGTTACAGGAACGCAGACTGGTCAATTCTCTAGATATGCGCGTACGGATATCTCATTTGTATTTCAGACATCTATATGACCCTCTCTAGCTTCTTCCCGTCTTGGCTTTGATGTATCTGTAAGCACTGGGTTATGGAGCGCCAGCAGCGGGCCTATGCTGAGGTACCCGCAAGGTGTAGCGCGCTTGACAGAGGCAATCTCGGTAACGCAGAATCCGCCGGCCTGAGCAGAGATCTCCATTTACATGGACACCAGTGAGATTCATTTGTCTGTAGGGTAAACGTATGAGCGATGAAGTCCTTCACAGGTTCTCACTCATTGTCACGGCTCTCAATGTCCCGTTTGCTTGTCTCACTGTCCCCGGGGTGATGATGTCAAGACGGTCAATAGATCTGCATTCTTTAAAGTTGGATTATACTGATTTGATCAGGACAGGATTGGAGCTCATTTGGCAATGCCAGCATACATGTGATGCTGGGGCACCATGTGTTTGCTCAATGCGGTTGTAACAAACGTACGCGTACCGCATGGGAGCTCTCATGCTTATGATCAATGATTCCTTCGAAGTTCACAGAAATGATGGTTGTACGTTTCTTTCTGGGGGTAGCCGAGGCTGGAATGGCCCCTACCCTGATATTCTATTTGACTAGGTAGGATTTTGAACGAACGTACCTGGCCTGCATCTCATCACTTGCCAGCTTCTACACTCGGTCAGAACTAGCACAGCGCATCTGTGCCTTTTACAGCATGCTTGCGGTTGCGGGTGCGTTTTCTGGTCTTTTGAGTTATGGTATCTGTCAGGTGCACGATGCCAGCTCTCTGGCAAGCGAAAACTCTGACCGTCTCTGTTTCATCAGGTCGACAACAACTGGCAGGGATGGCGCGTTCTCTTCCTTGTCGAAGGTGTTCTCACAATTGTGCTTGCCCTTATCTCGAGGTAAGAATGTCAACGCCTGTCCAAATAAGACTGAGCCGATGTCTGACAATGCGTTTTTCTGCAGGGGAGTTCTCCCAAGAGGCATCAATGCCTGTTCATTCTGGTCTGATGAAAGTCGTATGTTGGCTCGACGACGTATCCTTCGTGATTCGAGCACGATGATCGAAGAAGAACATAGCCTCGCGACATTCTTTGCACCTCTCCAAGAACCTATGGTACGATTGTTTGCGATACAGTCTGTTCATCTCGTTGATTGACTCAGTTATATATATTCTTCCTGGTTGGACTATGCTATGGCACAAGTGGCGCCGTCGCAGGTACTTTCTTACCCCTTGTGATGGCCCGAATGGGGTTCGAGTGAGTAATTCTTCATATCATTAATGTAAGTACCTAATCGCTGAAGGATGATAGTCCTGCACAGGTTAGCTATCGTGTGCTCTCTCGCACAATCTCGCTGAAAATTCCAGACAAATCTTCTTACCGTCGGGCCAAATGTACTTGGAGCATTCTGCGTATGTGGGTAATGCCAGTTGTTATTCCTCCCTGGACTGCACAATCCCTCCGTAGACATAACGGCCAAATCTTCTGATTATTTCAGGGAGCGTTCGCTACATCTCCTGGCTGCCATGAGTATGACTCTCAAGGAGACCACTAGAACTTCTCTAATGTCGCTAGGCGTGACTTTTCTGGGCCTCGTCATCTTGCTCGTTGGATCTTCCACAAACCTAGCCGTCAATTATGGGTGAGAAACTTGGACTTCCGCACAACTGCATGGATCTCACACTCTAAACAGGGCATGCTTCCTAATATCTGCGGGCGCTTTTACACCCTCTGTCCTATTTCACACATGGCATAATTGTAACGACGCATCCCATGACGGCCGAGCTTTTCGAACTGGGTTACTGACTTTGGCGACAAACTGTACATGATATTCATTTTGATCATTTTGAGCGCTCGTACACTAATAATACATCAGCCGGTGGTATTGTTGCTGCAAATATATTCCTGTGAGCATGCTGGATATTAGTTTCACTCTGGTTCACACAGTTCAGCTCCTGGGAAGCACCCAGGTACACAACAGCAATTCTGGCATCAGCCCTGTTAGAGGGAGTCGGTATTACGCTGGTGCTGTCAACCCGTAGGTTTGGATTTACTCCATTTCCTTAGCATGTTAAGGCTAATGCAGAGAATATTAGGATTATGGATGATGCGCGACAACAACCGAAGGGATCAGCTGGAAGGAATCACCAGGAGCACGAAGGTGCCGTTCGGAGTAACATTAGAGAGGACAATGAGACTGACTACGGTATCGTCGAAGGATATTTCAAGTGCATTGACTGCAAAGGGCACAAAACACGCGTCCTTCAGACATTTTCTCTAGATTGGATTTGGTATCCAATAAAAGGATCTTCGTGGTGATACGGACACGTGACTTTGCCTCCGGCACGGTCCGGCCCCCCGGCTTCGTCCGATGCGCATCAGGCCCCCCACTGAATTTTACGTGTGAACACAAGTTTCTTCCTCACTACCACTCAACGCAGGAGTTGACCCTTCATCTCCTCTGTTCCCTCCCACCACTCAGTCTCCCTCTTCGTTTCCTTTCTAAAAATGTCGGCGTCAGATAAGGTCCAGGAGGTGAAGGACAAGGTTGAGGCCAAGGCTTCTGAGACCAAGGTTGCGAGGAAGGTCAAAAGTCCCCGCGACTTTGCAAGTAGGTCATTTATGACTGCTATTGTCAAGCATTGCCTCTAACCCATCGGTCTTTTCAAGTCGATTTTTTGATGGGTGGTGTTTCTGCCGTGCGTTCCCGCTACATTGGAGAGTTATTGTGCTCAACTAAAATTTTCGTTAGGCTGTCGCGAAGACTGCTGCTGCTCCAATCGAGCGTGTCAAGCTGCTTGTGCAGAACCAGGATGAAATGGTATGGATGTTCTGTGCATATGATTTTTTTTTTCCAAAATTCATATCGTCCTTCGTAGATCAAGCAGGGCCGCCTGTCGTCACCCTATAAAGGAATCGTGGACTGCACGATGAGGACTTACAGCGATGAGGGACTGGTTTCTTTCTGGCGCGGTAACACTGCCAACGTCATCCGTTACTTCCCCACGCAGGCTTTGAACTTCGCTTTCAGTATGTCCTGTGAAGCTTTTACAGATCAATTGTTTATTAAGTTCTTACCGTGTAGAGGACTACTTCAAGTCTCTCTTTGGTTTTAAGAAGTCTGAAGGCTATTGGAAGTGGTTCGCTGGCAACGTCGCTTCTGGTGGTGCTGCCGGTGCTACTTCCCTCCTCTTCGTCTATTCACTTGACTACGCCCGTACCCGTCTCGCAAACGATGCCAAGTCTGCTAAGAAAGGCGGCGAGAGACAGTTCAACGGTCTCCTTGATGTTTACCGCAAGACGGTTGCTGCTGACGGCATTATGGGGCTCTACCGTGGCTTCGTTCCTTCGGTTGTCGGCATCATCGTATACCGTGGTCTCTAGTGAGCTCATCCTTGTGTTACTGGCTTGGCTACTGACACCGTTTACAGCTTCGGTGTGTATGACTCTCTCAAACCGACTGTTCTCGTTGGTGCGCTGGAGGGTAACTTCCTGGCTTCGTTCTTGTTGGGTTGGGGTGTGACGGTTGGTGCCGGTCTTGCCTCCTACCCGCTTGATACGATCCGTCGTCGCATGATGATGACATCCGGTACCGGTCATCACTACAAGTCTATGTGGTCTGCCGGTGCGGAGATTGTCCAGAAAGAGGGCGTCAAGTCGCTGTTCAAGGGTGCTGGTGCCAACATCCTCCGTGGCGTTGCTGGGGCCGGCGTGCTCGCACTGTACGATCAGTTACAGATGCTGATGTTCGGCAAGGTCTACTCCGGCGGTATGTTCTTTGAGGCTCGCATATGTCAAGTACCAAAGACTGACAAATCGATCACGCAGGCTCTGGTTGAACGGATATATCCAGTTAACGCCTGGCTTGAACAACGAACGAGTCGACTACAACGTCCTAGATCATATCTTCTACTCCTTTCTACCGTACTGTCTCCTCCCTGCCATTATCATCTGTCGTATTTTCCTTTTACTCCTGGATATACGTCCCCCAAAAATTACATACGTCTTTCCCAAACAGCATTGTGTAGCAGGACGCCGAGCGGAAGTGTGTGTGAGACTGCTTCAGAAAACTAAGGGTGTGCGCTCACGGAGGCAAACCTTTATTTATCCTCGATGGTACGTCAACCCAGGTGACCGAGACGGATTTCGAGCCCATGCGACCTTCTTACCATACAGCCCATTGGCAACAGCCAAGCAATATCCATACCAGCCAAGGTTCGGACTCTCAACAGCAACATTTTCCTCCAAATCATCCTATAACACCAGCGGCAATAGCTGCGTTGGCGTTGTCATCTTTGTCCCGGCCGAATCCCTCCCCAACTCACTTGCAAGGCCAACCAGGGACACATGCATGGACCAACTCTGAGGGATATAGCATATCGTCTACTTATATCCCTACTCCCATCGACAGACATCAGCCCATACATCAACCGCAGCATGTTCCTCGGCCCCCGCAAAACCCCACTCCGCAGGTCCGACCTTCTCGTCCTCTGCAGAACCTGCCGTCAAATCATTCAAAGAAGCGAAAAGGAGAAGATGAACCGTAGGCAGTTGATATCTTCCAAGGTGTGCATCATTTGACTGGTGGCAGACCAGTTCCCATTGCCGGCACTGGTATACTTCTTGATACACCAGAAGCAATTGAGGCTTGGATTATGGAACGCAAGGCGCGATGGCCTAGTGCCAAGCGCATCGAAGAAAAGGTTCAATAATTCCTTTCATTACATATTTGCAAATGCTTAGTTGTTGGTCTAGAGTGCTGCAAAGAAGGCTGCACAAAAAAGGGGCGAGATCCCCGATCAAACAACCGGGCACCGCTTTCCCGAGACAGCTGGCACCGCTATATCGCAGCGCAAGCCTTCGTTGAACGCACATCAACACATTTCCACTCGAAGCCGACGACGAGGTCATGGTGGCAATCGGCCTGATATCCGCCATTCGGAGAGGTTCGCAGAGCCCCACTCATCAACAATCGCACACTATCATCAGCCCATTTCTAGGCCGGGTGTGGCAAACACTGGACCTAAAAACGGAGCGTCTCCATCTGTCCGTCCCTTAACCCCCTCTTCTAGTATCTCCTCGGGATCTGGGGAGAGTCTCAGTGATTTGGACCCCATTACGGATGCCGTCTCCTCAAAGAAAGCAACCCTTGAAGCACTGGCTCATTCTGAAAGCATACAAACCGGGGAAGTTTCTCGAATGATATTGCGACCCATTCGTATCACCCGTCGGAAGGCTTGTGGGAGCCATCCAAGCAAATCCTCGACAGATAACTTTATGCACGCAGTGAGTTGGTGTGACCATGACCCCTTATTCATCTCATTCGATGGGTAGCTCCTGTCAACCGAAATCCGTGCGACTGTGTCAAGGGTTTCTCAAGCGATTCAGTTCCTTGTGGACAATGACCTCCTAGAAGGGGTGGAAGAACAGGTGGGGGACACGGAAAAAGTGGATTATGTCACCATAATTTCACCGTCAGACGGCCATTAATCTTGTTCACTAACATATCAATGCTTGAATAGGTTGATCGAATTTAAAACGAGACCTTTGTTCCTTATCCTGGTGCATGATGTGTCGATAAGCTTTCCACATTCATGAAACATTAGGTATATATAAGTACACTGAGCAGAATCCGCGGGGTATCAGAAACGTAATATATAAAGTGTGCGGTGAATTTGTGTTGTGTGAAGGACAAAATGCAACCCGTGTTTCTAGTGTCATCCAGAGGTAGTCCGGTCGGAACCAGCCAACAGACTGTTGAATAAACCAGTGGCAGAGGCCTCATTCCGCAGCTGGATCATGTAGACTATACCAGTACTAGCCCCCTTGTCACTGAGCTCAATGGCTACTCCTGTCTTGCCCACGCGTTCAACAGCGTCTGTGAGAATGATTGTGGAAATGAGAAGTGTTTTCTCTTTGGTATCTGCTTCAACAACTAGTTGCTTGACGTTGGTGGGTTGTTGCTGATACAGCTTGAGCTTCCCACCCCCAAGGGACTTCCATTGTGCATGTGCCTGTTTCAGGAAAACCTTGCACTTCATCTGGGCAGATATCACAGCTGTCAGTTGCTTTGTCTCTTCACCGGGAGAAGACGGAGGGCTGATGTCATCAACCGCCTGCCGTACACTCGGGTGAGAGCTCGCGAGCGAAGGCGATCTTGAGGATAGAACTGTAGATCGAGAGGACGGTGGTATGACTACCGATGCTGTTGGAGATGGGAAGGCTGCTGGATCGATGTAGGGCCGAGCCATATCAGGAGGCAATGGAACATGAGTGGGTCCCGTGCCATAACCATAGGGTGGCAGCGGCTTCTCCGGGCGGCCGTTGAATGACTGCATCGATGGTTCCCCAGGGTGAGGTATCAGGAGACGGCCTGCGTCGTCGCGGCGTGCAAAGACGCCCTCCGCGTTCGACGAAACGTTGCCATACTGAGGGTGGTGTTGAGGTGGGAAACTCTGTGGACCAACGCGTACCATTGATGGATGAGAGGTCACAATTGACTGGCCATTCAAGGGCATCTGCATAGGCCAGACCGGGGTGGTGAGCGATGCATCGCGAGGAGGGAATTGCCTGTTGTTTTGTTGATTCGGAGCATAGGCCATCGAATGCGGGGTTCGTTGGGAGATTATCGGGACGGGGACAGGTGGCAGGGAATTGTGTGCAGTTGCAGGTCCCATTATTGGCATAAACGGTCGCGGAGGATCAGGACTTCGTCCCCTGACACCAAATTCTACTTGTCCCAGGGGCTCCGACGTTGATCTAGTGAGAGATGTCGATCCAACAATAGCCGATGGGGGTGGGTGACTGGTAGAAGACTGAGTTTTTGAACTCCGGTTGGCTGGCACTGAAGTGTTTTCGTCAGAAGTTACGTGTTGCATACTGTATTACTCTGACGCACAATTCGAAGCGAGGTCAATACAATCCTCCAAGTCCCGCAGCAGCTTGTCTCTGGTTGGCTGAGAATCGGTGCGAAAAGTGATGTTTATCTTCCGCAACAGTTGCGCATTGACTGTATTTCCTAGAGATAGTTTTAGCTGAATATTATGGCCATGAACGAACTCATTATTCACCATTGCTCTCACTTTCACCTTCATGCTGCTTGAGCAATCGTATGAATCTACCTGCAAGAGGCGGATATAGCAGTCTCATGGAACGCCCGCCGAGACTGTCTCCATCCGGAGGCCTCTCACAGAGGAGCAGAAGGTCTGATAGTAGATAAATGTGACCCCGCTCGGTCTTTGCTTCCACACCGGTGGCAATAGGTGTGCAACATATGATGACGTCCAGTGATGTCCTAGTAGATCTAACGAAAGGCAGATCAGGAGGATTCAATTGAAGGGAGCATGCCTGAAGATGATCAACTGATGCACGGTTCACGGGAGGTGAGGTATTCTTACCTTCGGCTTCATGCTGAAGATGTCTAATACTTGGTCAACCGAAAGTCCACGTTCAAGCTCAGCGGGTGATGGTAAACCGCCAAGGGGGCCTAGTGACGTGGACCCGGTACTGCGTGAGGAGCGACTGATGAAGGAAATAAATTACTGCGTGCGGGGGAATGAATGGCAGGCTTACTCGTCTGACTGACTTCCGGTAATTGTACCGCTGGAGCTACTTCCACGTTGGACTATATCAGCATCCGTCGTTGTTCTGACGGGCGAAGAAGATCGGGACAATGGCACAGTGTCTTGAGTTGTCCTTTCTTCGATAAGAGCTCCCGCGATACCCAATTCATTTCTCCCACCAGTCAAGCTGGATTGGAGGCGTTCGGTTGCTGGATCAAGTTGTACGAGATCTGCAGACTGTCCAACCAGAACATCACCCTGCACTGCGTCCAGCTTGGGCACGGAAGTCTGCTCCAGGTGATGATGATTCGCTGTCAGGATGAATGCCGACCCCTCGTCGAGGTTATCGTCAGCCTGTCCGACGAATGCTGCTGTGGTGGGGAGTTGATGTTGCAGTCCTTGGCTCTCTAAAAGCAGCGGTATTTCGGAAGCAACTTGTTCGTCTGTCGATACCGAAAGCGGTGGATGGGACGAATCCTCTGGCTCTTCGACCAGGACGCGTAATCTGGCAGCCACGGTCTCCAGGAGACCATCTAGCTTCTCCACAGCAACTACTAATAGCCGATGATCTGAACGACCTGGTTGTGTGCTCTTCAAGAGACGAGAGTATAACCGCTTGTAATACTTTAGTCGACCTCTGGGAAGAAGGAAGAGGCTATCCAAACTCCACACGTCAGGCTCCCCATCAACCGGACTGCCAGAAGATTGCCCAGGTGGTGTGGCAGCAGATACTTCAGCAAGCATACGTGGTAGCTTGTTATTCTGCTGCACCAAAGGCCAATGATCAAAGCCCGCGAGATACGACGAGCAGTATCGTTCATAAGGATCCTCCAGGTCATCGATCTGCAATGTGTGAGGCACAGTTCGCAGAACAAAAATGCAGCAGCGTACCCAACGCATCAAGAGATCGCCCAACGCTTTTGGGGACGATGGATTGGGACCAATGTCCTTTAAGCGCTATTGAAAACAGCATGAGAAATGCTCGAGGTACCAAAGGGGCGATGTGCGTACAGCCAACAGAGACCGGTTTGCCTTGTAGATAGCTTCAACACACCGAAACATAGTGTCTAATTGCCTCGGAGGGAAATTTTCTTTGGACCAGGCCGCAGCTACTCGCTGAATTGCTTTGTCAGAACGATTCAAGTCTTTAGCAAGCTGACGAACCCTGATGATGCTTGCTAACAAGTCAACATACTGCTTTTCGGTGTCTATTAAATCTATGAGTGGATTGGACTTCTTGATAGGTTTGTCAGGTCGAGGACCAGTGGATGTTGAGGACGCCATAGGGGATGAATCGTCTGTGGTAACGAGCGGGGAGGTCGAGACCGGGCTGGTCATGGCATCGTCGCGCACGTGTTGGGCAGGAAGAAGCTGCAGTCTGGCCGAATCCATTGAGGACAAACAGCCTAGCCGGTGAAACTGTTGAAACGATAGGTTTTGTTCCCAGCCGGGAATAATCAAGCGCACGCGTTCATGTATGCGTTGTCGACAGAGACGAAGAGGGTTTGCGTTCAAAGGGTTTGTGCTCAACGTGGGAAAGGTTGGGACCCCCACTTGTAATTGACGAGTGGGATGGAAGACGCCTCGTTTCCAGACGCGAGTCGCGGGTCGGATACTTCCATTCTTGTCTTTACCCGCTTCCGTCAAGCACTTGTATTACATAGCAACGAGCTAGCAACAGCATTTATGCAGGTTCACCAACACTGGCTTCGATCCCTGCTCATCTTGATGCTACTGCACCGTTTGATTCATGGCTGGAATATCCAAGAATAAGCGACCGTATACCCCTACCGCGGAGCAGATTCAACTCGCAAATGAACGAAGAGCTAAGAGGCTGGCTCAAAAGACATCCGCAACACTCAGCCCACCGGACTTTTCCTATTTAATTCTGCCGAGGAAATGGCTCCCAGCCAATGTTTCGTATACTCCTATTAGGGCGCGAATTACAATCATGACTTGGAATGTCGGTCAAATATATTGCTTTATCCTGGCTTCCTGCGGCGTCTAACATATGTTCGATCTTTTAGATGCTTGCCCAATGCCTAATCCGTGGGTGCATCCCTGTCAAACGCGGGACATTTCTGAATCGATTAGGTCGGGATCTGTTTCCCGGAAGTGATTGCTTGAAAAGCAAAGACAGAGAGCAGATGCTGTCCGCTGAGATTTTGAACTACAGTGCCGACATTGTATGCCTCCAGGTGAACCATCCCGTTATAATACCTCTATCCTGGACATGTGCGACTTTTGTTTGTAGGAAGTGGATCGATTGGATACGCTCCTTCCAAGTCTATGCCCGTATTACGACAACATCTACGCCGCAGGGCGGGACAAGCTCCATGGATGTATGCTGCTTTACAACCGTTCTCGTTTTGAAGCCATTTCTTCCAAAACAGTATATTATGATGAGGAACCTCTCATATCAGGAAGTTCAGACGGAACTCAGAAATTTGGTGCAACGCGTCGCACCAGAAACATCGGTCTTATAGCCGCTCTTCGACACAGAAACGACAACTCCAGCACTTCACAATCTGACGGTTGCATTGTCGCCACAACCCATCTTTTCTGGCACCCAAAGTAAGCCACAACTCAAAGTTTTGAGCCCAGCTGAAGGTTCCATGCCATTCATAGGTTTTGTTTCGAACGCTCACGGTCAGCATCTTTCCCGAATTCTGAGATGTGGGAGTTCATGACGCATAGTCAAGCATTTATTTTGTTGCGTGAAACTATTCGGTTCCGTTCATCTCAAGATTTTCAGCGCTGGCCTATCTTCTTTGGCGGTGGTAATTGAACCCATCATAGAAAATGCATCAGGACTGATCCCGACCATAGACTTCAACTCGCAGCCCTCTGAACCCACTTATTCGCTGTTGGTAGGCCAGCACTTGCTTGACACCCAAAAAGCGGAATTGGAAAGTTCTCGAGTTATTCATGTTTCGGTCGATCACAGCATTGGGACAGAGACGCAGGAATGGACACCGGAGGATGAGAATGAGACACACGCGCTAGATGAGGACAGCGGCCATGCCATGCCCCCCATCACAAATCACCGCCGGCCGATTCCTGCAGACGAGGTACCTGCGGTCGGCGCTTTGGAGTCTATGTATTCCTGTTTACCCGGGTCACTTAGAAGTATGTACGATGAAGCCAGGATCGCTTCGGAAACATTCGGGCAGAGAAACGTTCTATCCGGCAAAGGTGGTTCTGAGCCCATGTGGACGAGCTTCACTCCTCTGTGGAGGTTGACTCTTGGTAGGTGTTGAGAAAGCACAGCTAGTCCGCGGCTCATAAGACTCGTAGATTATTTGTTCATCTGGGACGGCCCCCATAACGTCAACGAGCCTAGACCTGAGGTACTCTCTGTCCTCGAACCTCACAAAACTCAGACTCTGGAGCCAGGACTTCCGAGAAAGGGTATATGTGCAAGTGAGCTCGTTTACGCAGTATCCAAACGACTAGATTGCTCATGCACAAATTGCAGGCGACCATGTTGCATTGATAGCTGAGGTAGGATGGTGATTCTCACAATTGGTACAGCACATGACGGACATGTCTAACAAACATCATTTGAGACCCCCGGTTGCACCAGTAAATGTCGAGTATCGAGCAATAATATGTTCACCAGGCGGAGCCAGCAGATGGGTGATTGTTGAAGTTAGAGGGAGAAAGCCAATCCGCATTGTCTGGCCTTCTTGCATCGCTATCCAGCCGGGCCCGTTTCACGGGGTGAACGAGTGGGGGGGAGGGAGAAACATCTCTGACGGCGGGTCGTTTGGTTCTCACAGCGGGAGGGGGGCTGATCTCGTCATCGGATAAGGTAAGATCGATCACGGTCTGATTTGAACTTCGAATTCGAGTGGGAGAGCCGCTGGCCGGATAACTGATGGAACGCTGTCTTCCGGGAGGCGAGATTTCATGCCTGATTTGACTGTCATCATCGTCATCGTCGGATTCGATAACGAATATCTCGGCGGGGCTGGGCAGGTGCTGTCCTGACCCTGGCATGGTGTCATGCTGCATCTCAATCCTCGCTGGAGTGGATGGGTTCAGACTGACGCGCCGTAGGGCCTTCCATCCCTCGGAACCATACTTGTTATCCGAGGTGTGCCATTCACCGTCAGCTTCCATGATCACATCGTCCACAGAATCCGGCGTGGCTCGCAATATTGAATCGAAATACCTATTGAAAGGATGAGATGATGGGGAAACTGTGGGTTGAGACAACCTCACCCATCAACAATGAGGTCATCTACTAGCAACATTTTTTCACACACGGGACATAACCAAGTCGTCGTCTGTTCCATGACCGAGAACCAGCTTTCTGCATCGAAACATTGCGCATGAACACAGAGCTTCGACCGACAGGGGATCTGTATTCGAATGTAACTCATCTATCGCACATCAATACAACCTGCATTGCATGTAGTTCGAGAAAACGCACAGGACACTTTAAGGAAAGGCTGGAGGGTCCAGCAACGATATCCTCGTCTTCATGGTTTGTCTGCTTTACTGAGAAAACAATCAAAGATTGCAATGCACGAAGGAACCCTTCATTTACTAACTTCGCGCCAATATCTCTTCTGCGGAGCGGTACTTGCCCTTCCGGATGCGATCCACAATTTGATGAACAGTAGTGACCTCGACAAAATTCACTACAGCATAAAACCTCTGATGTAAAGTTCAGACCAGTGGTTCCCTCAAAGCTGGGAGGCAGACCTTGGGAACGAATGGTGTTTGATTGTTCATGAAAATCATATCCAGTTTATTTGAACCACTGTGTGCAAGTCGAACCGTCTTTCCCAAATCCGCGGGAGGCGCCGTTCCAGGTTTCTTCTTAAGTCCACGCAAGTTTGCGGTCAAGAGGGTGCTGTTCACTCGAACCTCACAAGTCGAAGGAAACTCGATGGGACAAGGATTTGCTCTTCCGAATGCTGACGTTGAATAGTGGGTGGAAGATGTGCAGTAAAGTCTTAGTTGATAAGAACAACTGTCGGGGTCAGCTCGCATTCATCCACAACAAGAGTTATAACTCACTTGGGCGCAGATAGTTTCTCACGTTGCTGTGAAGTCAAGTTAAAGGTGATCGAAAGATTCTTCCTCTCCGTCAGATCTTTAGCCTCTGTTTTTTAATGAGCTGCAGTCAGAAGCGGTGATCGATACTATACCTTGAGAAGTTGCCAATTCGGACACCGGTTCAATGACTTTGTAGAAAGGGGAGGCTGAGAACCGTATATCTGTCCCCTGACGATCAGTATAAATTGAATCATCTGGCACGCCTGTGATACGTACCACTCCTGGGTTGCATTGACGGTGTCTGGACGCTGTATGGCGACGAGGAACTCTGTTGTAATGATCGGCCATTATAGGGGTATGAAGTCGTCGGCGCATGCCCATAGCCATTTGGTCCTGAATAGTGGCTGTAGGCCACCTGTGGAGTAGCGGGGACAGCGGGCGGTAAATATTGTAAAGACCCACGACGCGAAACAGAGCTGGTATCCCAACAACATTAGATTACCCGTTTGTCCCACAGAGATAGGGTGCGTACTTTCCGGAGCTCGACAAATCGGTAAGGACGTCCCGCGCGTGGCGGTAGGCTCTGGAATCCTGCCGCTGGTACCAGCCATCCATCGCGTCCTGTACTCTTGTAACTAGTTCTTGCTTTTTCCCAGTCCTGAGCAAAGTCAAATTGCACTCGTCGTTAAGCCGGTGAATCAGTTGTTTGAGTCGATCCACGGTGAGGCCACTGACACGCTGCCTTTGTTGCTTTTTGGGAGGTCAGATCTATGTGAATCTCATCGCTGTAATGGCCCACTTGGAAATCAGTCCAATCGGATTGCGACTCGACCATTATCCCAGCGATGTAGGAGGCAAGCACGACGAGCGCTTGTTGATAGTCCGGATGCAAGCAAGGAGGTGGATGGTCGTGCTCAATATCATACTCAGGTAAGCACTGCCACTACCTACATTGCGAAACGAAATACTCTGCTGCTTCAGCTTGCTTTCGTCTTAATGTCCACCAAACCATACGATGATATGACCGAGGAGGAACGTAATGCGCATGACGCAGAGCAGAGAAAGAGAGAAATACACGAGCAAGAGGGTGAATGAGTGATATCATATGCATTTTTGGTCAGGAGTGTCTAATGCGCATGCAGCGCTGCTCTACCGATGGAAGCAAGAACTCAGTAACGTGTCGGTTACCCTCCCCCTTCCCCCGTATACCAGGGGGAAGGATGTGATCGTCAAGCTACAGAAGAAGTTCTTGAGTGTTGCTCTGAAGGGTAAAGATTCAATGATGGAGGGAGAACTGTGTAAAGAGATCAAAGTGGAGGACAGTACTTGGACCATTGGTATCCTGACTTGACACACATTTCTCGCTTTCTTCGTCAACTCTCTTTACAGAAGATCAATCGGTACTGCACATATATCTCGAGAAACTGAACAAGATGCAATGGTGGGAGAATGTTCTTACTCAGGATCCCAAGATCGATACCACCAAGATTCAACCGGAGAACAGCCAGCTGTCCGACTTAGATGGCGAGACTAGGTGAGCATGTTTCATGCTTCCAGTGAGTGGTGCTGTGCCTGACGACCCGAATCAGAGGCATGGTTGAGAAGATGATGGTGTGTGAACATACGATGCTTCTTTTTTGCCGTGGTGCTCACCTTCTTTCTCCTAGTATGACCAACAACAAAGGGTGAAGTGCGCACAGGAATGACAGACATGTATCTCACGTCCTTACAGCAGATAGGGAGGCCGACTTCCGATGAGGCGAAAAAGGAGGTGGGTGTCTTGACAGGCGTTTGCATGTGGCTCCCTTGATCTTACTGAGTTGTCAAGATACTGGCCAAGTTCCAGGAGGCGCATCCTGAGATGGATTTCTCTCAAGCCAGGACTGGTTGATACAATCCTAATTGTTGATCACCTCTTCATTGTTTTTCTCGATATTGTTCTCTTCTCTCTGACAGGATGGCTGAAGCTGTGAATACCAGCAGGCCTTACTATCTGATGTGGGGTTTGGATGAACAGGGCATCCCTCACTCTAGTAGATTTGAAATTTGACAAAGATATGGTCTTGGTTAGTGTAGATGTTTGCCAATGTTTCTTGATCAGGTCTTAAAGTCATTGAATGGTTGTTCAACCCCCACAGCAGTTTTTCATCTTCCTAAAATGAGAGTTTGTGCATGCAAGAAATCTAGCTGACTGAATGTAAGGTCATTCTTACTCATCTTGTATCTCTTCCTAGGGGGGTCCTCCTTTACTCTCCTGTCTGCATGTCTTCTTCTGTTTGCTCCCATTGCTAGGCCCTACTTGTTTGCCTAGCCTACCCCTTTCCAGATCCTTTTCCCTCTCCTCACCATCATTGCTAGAGACTGTATCTAGATGTTTTCTCCAATACAGAATGGACATTGGAGTGGTACTTCATTGCTGTGGACCATCAGTGAGGGCATAATACCAAAGCCCTTTTACTGACCTGTGACAAAACAGGGCTGTGACTTCCATCCAGTTCAGGTGAAATCTCTTCAACAGAATGAGATGTGCTGAGTCAAAACAATTGACTGTCTATGAACTGCAACAGCATCTCCTTGCATAAAGAATAACAAATATACACAAACATTGCTGTTTCCCTCTTCTTTTCTAAAACACACTCTATTGTCAATGGCAATTTTTATCACCAAAGTCAGAGGCCAGAGGGAAAGCGATGTCAACAGACGCAAACTTATTATTATTATTATTATTATTATTATTATTATTATTATTATTATTATTATTATTATTATTATTATTATTATTATTATTATTATTATTATTATTATTATTATTATTATTATTATTATTATTATTATTATTATTATTATTATTATTATTATTATTATTATTATTATTATTATTATTATTATTATTATTATTATTATTATTATTATTATTATTATTATTATTATTATTATTATTATTATTATTATTCTTATTAGTAAATAGTGTTTTCTTATATATTTTTGGTTGAGTCTTGTACAAATTCTTGTACACAGCCATGGGAGAGAGTTTCCTTGCATAATAAACATGTAATATACTTAATCCAGTATATTCCAAAACCCAGAAGACCCAGACTCATGGAAATGTCCACCATCATGTCAATGAGAATCAATGATAATGATAATAA